AGCCTTATTCTGGATATTTGCTAGGGAGATATCTCGCATGTAAAAAATTTTCGCTTTCACATTCTCGCCTTATTCTGAATGAATGGGGAGATGCAAAAAATGCGAGATGCAGATTCGAGTTTTCGAAAATGGTGGTTGAAAAAAAGATTCGTGTTGCCATATCGTAAATTAAGTTGCAATGTGTGTGGCCATATTGTAATTTAAGTTGCAATGTGTGTTGCCCCATTGTAATTTAATTGTGTAACATTTTTCAATATATTATTTATTGATTTTTGTTATTAAAAATTGTTACTTTTTATTGTTATTTACACTATATAGCAATACAAATGTGAAATATCAAGAATCCGCTGTATAAATGCTTTGTAATTAAAAGAAAATAAATTAAAGTTTGAAAATATGGCAACCTACAATATGGCATGTGAAACAGCTGTTCATTGTTTTGATGCAATTTGGTGCAACAACTACAACAAGATTATAAATAAAAGAACATTTTTATGATGACAAAAACACAACGAATAATGGAAAGAAATCTGCGATTGAATTAATTAATTCAATTTATTATTTCACTACATAATTGTGTGCCTTTTTATTTAATTTCGATATTTATTTCCCCAGATTATTAAAGTGACATGTTATGTTATGATTACGATAATTTAAAAAAAATATTTTTTGTTCTTTCATAATTTTTATTTAAGTTTTTCACTGTTAAGCGGCTCATCAGGCAAATTTGGTTTTTCCATAATTTTTAATTTTTTTTTTTTTTTTTTTGAGATACAGACCCTCACCCAAAATGTCTGTATTTCGCCTCCAAACTGCATCAAACTCGACTTAAATATTCCGTATTACCTTCATATATTCCTTGGCAATACTTGGATCAGCAGGCATCGTTATCAATAGGATTTCCAATGGCATTTTATTGGTTGTTTTCCAGTTAAAAGTGTGCTTACTATCATTTATAATATTCTAAATCGTCATACAATAAGTATTGTGTAAATATTTTTCATAAAAATAGTAATTACTTATGTCTTTGTAGTCAACTCCCCTTAAATTTATTAGCGAAAAATTTCGCACAAAATTTCCTACTCCCTGTAATCCAGAATACCTAATTTTTCCCCAAAGCGGATTTTTTCGCTTTCGAACTTCATTCAGAATAAGGCGAAAGCGAGAATGCGAAAAAATTCACACAAAAATGTTGTTCAGAATAAGACGAAGGAAAAGAGCGAGTAAATTCACGTGGAATTGAGATCCAGAATAAGGCTGAATATTTCTTAAAACGATATTTCGGTGGCGATTCCTTTGTGGTCTTGGGAGCATTTCATAGCCACGGAATGCTTGATTAGAATTTAGTGGTGGAGTACGTTCAAGTTTTGGAAGACAAATTATTGCCCTTTTTGGGAAAGCAGCAACAATGAAGAACTCGTTTTTCAGCAGTAAAAGTCGACACACTTAAAATCAAAAACATATTAACATTTCCGACCAGAATCCGATCGGGAACATGACTCGTCGTGTCTATGCAGAAAACCGCCGATACCTAACTGTATTTTACCTCCAAGAAGTGATTATCGATGAATGGCGTCAATCGATGAAGATTTGCGAATAATTTTGATCAACAGTGTGTTGGTGCGTCTATAGTTATGCAACACCAGTAAATTTGAAAGTGCAGAATCGGAAATCGGATTGTTTATTTAAAAAAATATATGTATGACATCATTATTTAATTATTGGAAACTCTTAGATAACCATTCTCACTTATTATTATTTTTATTAATTTGGTTTGGAGATCTATTGAATTATTTCCCGACATCACAAGCATGAAATGATAATTGTGTGACATTTTTTGGTTCAAATTCAAACACTTCTCATTTAAATGATCGTCAAAACTACCTTTGTTCCAAAGAAGCAGGGATCAAATGAAATAATTTTTAAAATAATAATAATAATAAACAAAACACCATAGAAAATCATCAACTAGTTTCCTAGATGCAATAATAAAAAAATCAATACAATATAGAATATATATATAGTAACATATTTACAACACAGAAAAGTGAACATAAAAAATAACAAAAAGAAAAAAATATATACATATATAATATGAAATATTCATCAAGTGCATCCAATATAGCTATAATAAAAAAATGATATATAAAAAATAACAACAAAATATATATTCTTATAAACTATATAGAAAAAATATATATACACACACAAGAAAAACAAACTAATAATAGACAAAAGTCACACAAAAAATGATGTATACGTTACATTGGTATTTTATGAGAATTATGAATTTCAATAAATTTACAGAATTGTGGGCATGAATTATATGGGATGAAAGGGCTATATTTATGCATTGTTAAATTCAACGTAATTGTGGATAAAAACGACAACTTAGCACACAAAGAAAATCATTATTTTATTTATTTGTTATTATTATTATTTTTTTTTGAAATGTCTTTAAGAATGTTTTTTTATCAGAATAATTAATTTTTTAATATCGGACGAATATAAGAAAATACTTTAATTCAAATTTGCAGAATTTTATTGGTGAATATTAAAAATTGATAACCCGGCTATTTGAATATTCGTTTCGTTTTCATTTTGTCTAAATGTCCCATAATGTCTGCCTCTGCCAAGTGTTATTTTCAGATTCCAAATCATCACCTTCGCCGACATAACAACAAAAAGGTTAACAAAAAACAATTACTCCAGCAAACCAATAAATATTGTTTTACATTTAAAATTCACAATAAAAAATAACAATTAAAATAGTATAAAAGTAGCAACAAGAATCTAGGGCATACCTATACATATACAATATATGAAATGAAAATACATAAAAGCATACAAGGGCCTATGTGGATAATTGAAATAGTAAACAAAAATATAAAAAAAATAATATAACATATATTCTAGAGTATATATCTGTATTTATGTAGACCCATAAGCAAGAAAATAAAAAAAATAAATCTAGTTTGTAGTACTAAAATGTTAGAAAATATACACATAAATGTATAATAAAAAAGTGAAATAAACATGCAAGAATAACAACAAAAACAATATTAAACAAAAGGCGGGAAAATAATATGTAAAGGAAATTTAAATTTAGAGGAATATATATGTAAAAAACAACAAAAACAAGAACAATGCATTATGATATGAAGAAAATTGGTGTTTTAATTAAAAATGGTTTGGTTTGGGGATATTACATTCTGACATTGTGTCAATTGATTTACTTTGTTTTAAATGTTATAATTTAAAGCATAATTCTAGGCGCTAAAATAAATTCAGTCTGCTCATTACATTTCCATGTATTTTATTATTAAAATATAACTCCTAAAACTATTGTACTCTTTTCCAACATTTATAAACTAACACAATAGCACCGTTTTAAACGATCTGGCAACATTGTTGTTAAATTAGCTGCCAATCGATTGAGCAAAATGTAAATTTCTTGCCTTTTTCATTTTGTGGTAACAGGCAACCAGAACGATGTGACAGCTATATTTTAACACAAGGTCGATTTCAAATGGCTATAACTCAGCAATGCGTTGACAGATTTTTATGAAACTTTTACCACTAGTAAAGGGAAAAAGTTTAATTTTTATGCGAATTGATAGATTAGGGAAAATGATGGTGAGTAATGAGAAAATCATGATCATTTGTAGACTTATTAAATGCCATAAAACGAAGGAAAAATTTAAGATTTTTTTAATAATTCGTACATTAAGTTATTGTTGAGGAGATGGACAACAATGAATACTCTTTAATTTGGCCATATACCTAAAATTTTTCGAAATATGAATGAATTTCAAAAAGACTTTTAATTTACATTTTTACAATTTTAAGACGAAAAAAATCGGGAATTTAAGTTCGATTTTAAGTAAATCTACAAAATTTTAGATTGTAAAATATTTTGATGGATTTTTGCCTTTCCCTTTACGGTTTGAAACCCCCTCAAATCCCCCAAATCAATGTGTGCGATTTGTATACCCTTCACCACACTGTGGTACAGGATATTATGACTTTGTGCATATGTTTGTAACAGGCAAAGCGAAACAAGATAGACACATGGTTCCTTTTGAGAATATTCATAGAATCACTTTCTGAATCGATTTATGCATGTCCGTCCGTCTGTAAATTGTAAACGTACATATATATTTTCGTCCGATTTAAGGTAAATGGTGCGCCAAAGTCCCTAAATATCTTTCGATTTGCACGAAATTTGACATAGCGTACTAAATTAAGTCTAGAACGATATGTGTTGAGTTTCGTGAAAATCGGTTAATATTTAGATATAGCTCACATATATATTTTCGTCCGATTTAATAGAAATGGTGACCTATGTTCATTTCATGTCAATGTTCTTTCGAAATTGTCACGTCTATTAGGATACTATGTGGAATATTCTCAAAGTGGTGAGGGGTATCATATAGTCGGCCCAGTCCGACTTTATACTTTCCTTACTGGTTCATTTTCAGGTAATAGCATCGAACAGTTGGTATATTTGGGAACATCGTTGAATAACTCGCCGAAAAATTAACCGATTTTCATAAATTTTGCCCAAATGATTCAAGGGGGTCCAGTTTTATTCTACATTGGTAATAAATATACAAATATCGATATTTCCCATTTTTCAATAATTTTATCCTCCACAAAAATAGAAAAAGAAATATATTCGATGCTTTTTTATTATTAAAATAAATATAAAGTTTTACAAAATTTTATTGGTACACATTTGTAATTAATTAACATTGCCATCTACATATTAGGAATTAACAAACTGCATTACAAGGCAAATTGGTCATAATATATTAAAAAATATGCTTTTTTCAAACAATTAAGCATTTGTCTAAAAATAAAATATAAAAGAAAAAAATTTAATTAATAAAATTTTAATAGATATAAAATGAAATAAAAAGTGAGTACGAAAAAAGTGTCATACGGAAATTCCCTAACTAAATATAATGCCATCGCATAACAAAGCACACTCGCTCTTCCTATCGTATACTTTGACGGAAAACACTTTGTTTAGCTTTGGCACCGGCTGTAGATGATTTTTTAGCCGTATGTGGATCTGGGGCAAAACAATTCCAAAGACGTAAAGTTTCATCGGCACCAGCACTAATTACAGTACTACCATCGGGTGACAAAGCCATTTGTAAAACTCTAGATGTGTGCCCGGTAAGTTCAGCTTGTTTTACCATTGAGGGATATTTCCAGATGGTCAATTGATTATTGGCAAAACCATGAGCCGAAATGAGTTCTTTGTAGTTACGTGACCAAAGTAGAGCACAAACTTGTGACTTGGAATCGACAGAATTAATCAGAGAGCCATTGTTAACATTCCAGAATTTAATACATCTATCAGCAGTACCTCCTCCCGAGGCAAGGATATTAGGCTGCCAAGGACACCAGGCCAAAGCACGTACGGCAGCCTGATGTTCGTTGAGAATGTGTAGAGGTTCATTGCCAGTGCCAACACCGCCACTAACGGCAGCCCAAACATTTACCAAGTTGTCATTGCCACCACTAGCCAAGTATTTGAAATCAGTCGACCATTTAAGACCACAAACTTCCTGGGTGTGGCCAGCCAAATTTGCCACCTTATGTTCACGAGCCCGGACATCATGATGGATTATGGTGCCATCACGACTGCCCGAAGATACCAAGAATGAATTCCAAGCCAAGGCGCCAACACGGGCCGAGTGACCATCCATTACACGTAAACGTTTTATTTTAGAGCAATCCCACAGCTCAACGGCTCCAGTATTGTTGCCAATGGCCAAAATCTGTCCCTCTTGTATCCATGCCAAAGCACAGCCATGATCACCCTCTTCATATTCCACCAATTGTTCAATGTTACCCGTGGCAGCATTCCACAAATAGACAGCATTGCCCAAAGCCACTGTGACAATGTTATCAGCACTCCAGTCCAAAAGATTTAAATCTATAAACAAATACACGTTAAAATAAAATCTTCAAATCTTCTTCCCACAATACCTACAATAGTCATTGATAATATCAGGAGCATCCAATATACGATCCGATGTTGTGGGTATATAACGTGAACCACTTTTCGTAGATATGGGTGTCTTAATGGAATACACAACTTTGAGGGGGTTAGTGTGTGATTCAGGTGCAGCTGGTGCCTTATTTTGATAGGACAGGATACGTGTAGTTTTACCATCAGCCACTTGCATTGAATCCGATATCAATTTTTGGCGTTCAGCTTTGGCTGGTGTCATTTTGTTACTATTATTGGAGTTACCACTGTCGTTTTCTTCGTCATTTTCTGATTTGTCTTGTTCTTGTTTTATCTAAAAGATTTTATGTTAAATTTCTAAACATCCAAAGACATTTCATTACATTACTACATACCAAATAATGACCCAATTCAAAATTGGTTGTACCACGATTTGGAATGAAACGATCTCCACCGCCAGGCGTTTTTGATCCCTTACTGGGTGTTGGTGTCTTCTTACTTTTTGCATCTCCAGTCTTACCCGGTGTCTTGGTCGGTGGATTTGCTCCCGAGAAACTGGTATTGTACGAAACAGATAGCACCGAGCGACTACCATTCAAATGACTGGAGGACGAAGCGTCCATCATTTTCTTTTGCCATCGTGGTGGTGGACCCCTGGTAATTTCACCATCCATTGTCAAAGCGCTGTTGATTTCATTGAAAAAATTAAATTGTGACATTTTTACTTAGTTAATTTAATAGAGTTGTTGTCATAAATTATGAAAAGGTATTGGATGTTGTTCTTTATTCCTCGATCTATTCGGCACTGTTTAAACAATGGCGGCTAAACAATATTTTGCGCTCGCAAGCGCTGTTTGTTGTCAATTTATGGTGATTGCCGGTGTTATTTTTGACAGAAGTTAGTCAATACGTATTGTGTTGTATTCAGTTGAAATGTTATTCTGTCAAGTATATGGTTTGTTCCCGTACTGCAAGAATATACTAATTTTTACTATTTTGTTTGATATCATAAAAGAAAATTTGTTATCGTAGTAAAAAGTAATAGATTTTGCAGTACTATAACACACCAAATAAAGTTTTTAAGAATAATTTTTCCAAGTCTATAAACGCGGTTATATTTAGAAAATGCACTCGAGCTCAAATGTCAATTCCATAGCGTATACGTCAAATATAATCCACTGGATTTTTGAACATGATTAAGGTGACGTATACGCTATGGAATTGAGATCGAGTGGATTTCGTCAATCTAAACGGGTGTCAGATTAGCATTTAAACTACATTCAACACCGACATTCACCATAAATTGACAACATTCAGTGCTTGTGAGCGTACAAAAATTGTTTAGCCGCAAAAAACGGTTGATTTTTGTAGAATATTTTGATAAAAACTATTCCAGAAAGAAGTGTTGAATTTTTAAAGTATATTGTTGCCAAGGAATATTAGACCTACAGGCGACGGGTTTTAAAAAATATATTTCACTGAGTATTAGACCCATAGGCGTCGGTTTTTAAAGAATATTTTTGTAAAGACTATTAGAACATGAATATTAAAGAATATTTTCGCAAAGCCAATAATAGTACGTTTACATTGTAGCGGATTTTGTTAATCCAGTGGGGTCAATTGTCAATTCTATTATATACATATAAATCCTCATAGTAGCCTACTCTAGCCGGTAAAAAGATCTAATGAAATGCCGTTTAAGACCAAAAGGTTCGAATTTTTTAAGTATATCTGAGGAATATTATCAAGAAACGTGGGTTTTTAATCCAACGAATATTAGAGATAGAAGCGGAAACTTACAGAAATTTTTTCTCTAAAAAAATATTAGGCCAAGAACAGAGAATTTTTAATAATAATAAAAAAAAAAATAACTAACATTTCTCCAATGTCCAAAGATCGTAGATTTTTATTGATAAATTTATCTTAGGAATATTAGATTAGTAGTGTGAATATTTGAAGACAGTTTTTCCCAAAAAGTAAATTTTAAAATAGTGTTCCTAACCTGGTGTTTACAAACGACTTTCTTTTGTGTAGACAATAGCAAATATACAAACCATTTTCACCCATACATCTAAATTTTTGTCAATTGGACAATTTTTGAAATTTTCAAATACAATTTCAAATAATGAGAAATTAGCTGAAATGTATTAAACATAAAAAGAAAAAATCATATCATTAAAAAGAAATAAATTCGAAATTTTATATTCAAATTGTCTACACAAATTTTTACACAGTTTATCCATAGGTAAGACATATGGTCTGTTCCCGTACTGCAAGAATCTACTAGATTTTACTATTTTCTTCGATATCATAAAGGAAAATTCGTTATCGTAGTTAAAAGTAGTAGATTCTTGCAGTACGGGAACAGGCCAATATTATACCTAGAATATTTTTGAATATGTATGAATGAATATTTTTGTAATGGATGCCAATACTATTACTCCACGAAGTGTAGATTTTCTGGACGTTTACGCCTAATAGTGAAGATTTTGCGAAACGCGCTTGAAAACTTTGGCCAAGGAGCATACATTTTTAGAGAATATTTCTGTCAAGACTCTTGGATAATGAAGTCTAAATTTTAATAAAATCTATGTTTTCAAAGAAGAATGAATTTTTAGAGGCTCTTGTCTTATTCCAACTCAAGTATGAACAATATTTTATTATGACAACAATTTTTCCTTTATGAAATCTGAAAAAAACTGTAAAAATCATAGTACAATATGATATGGAACATACTGATTACAATAACAAGAGGTAGATTATTGAAACCTATGATTACAATTTTTTCTTGTGTTTATGTTATTCTAATCATGTTGGCAACTCTATAGTGTGCAAAAATCTTGACTTTCCGTTTTTTGCGATATTTTTCCTATTAAAAAAACTTTAAATATATGCCAAGTAAATAAAATAACCTGTTGGATATGTTTCCGTACTGCACAAATCTACTAGTTTTTACTATTTTTGATACCATTTATTTTCACAAGAATATCACACCAAGCATCTACACGTTATTACCATAGGTTGAATTGTCAGCTGTTTTATGCAATAATCGATGTGGTTATCGACATAGTGGTGTCATCAATGCCAAGTGAATGCATACAACACAAGACTGTCGACGAAGAAGAAGCATTAAGTCAATGATTTATTTCAACATTCTAATTGGAAGTGGGGAAAAAGGATTTAATATCATTCCATAAAGGACACTAATACTCAATAACAACACCACCACCTAACAATGGCTGAGGGAGCTAATGTCCGTCAAAATTTACAAAACATTCCATCGATATTTGAAATATCAGCTGCTGAGACCTTGGATAATCTTATCTATCCTGCCCTAAGTAAACTATTTGATTATTTGGGTTTACGTGTGGACTTTAAGCTCAGCGATACAAAACGTATTAGGGAAGAGATATCACCGATCATTACATGGATTCTGCAATATATGTACTTGAGAAAACGTGGTTCATCGTTCGGTGAAAGTTTCTATGGCCTGCAAAGAACCCATACAAAAACGGGTGAACTTTTGACCAGACAGCAGGAACTAATATCTGCATCCGTATTAACTCTGCTACCCTATATTGAAAGAAAACTACAGACAAGGGCTCAGAACCATGAGTCTTCGCAGTGGGAAGAATATGTTTTGAAACTATTTAATGCCTATAAAGCTTCCAAGGCGATACACACATTTTTGTATCTGATCAAATATGCCGGTAGTCATTCTCCAATATTTCGTGCTTTAAGACTAACATTACGTTATCCTGCCCAACCGCCCAAAGAGGATAAGGCAACATATATTGTTTTGAAATTACTGGAAGTGTTGGCCTTCTTTTTACAATTCATCCAATGGTGGTATTCGAATGATCAACGAAGAAAAGTCGGCGGAACTTTGGTAAATCCCGAACCGCTGGAAGAACAACCGGATATGTTGAAAAAATGTAATACACCCAAGGGAGAATGTCCGATATGTCTTATGAAAATTGATAATCCTACAGCGTGTTCGGTATCGGGTTATGTCTATTGTTGGAAATGTATTATAACGCGCTTGAAAAATCATCCGACATGTCCTGTCACAGGCTATGCCATAAGTATGGATGATTTAATTCGAATTTATGAAACAAATTAGGATTGTGTTGTTTTTCTTTTTGTTATACGTATTATATTTAGCTAAATAAATTTAAGTAGCATTTTTTTGTATGGAATATGGGATGTGATATTTTGAAAAAATATATAAATAAAAATATTTAGTAAATAACTACTTTTTTATTTCAAAATAGTTGTTTTGTTTTGCATTGAGTTTAATACTCGGAGGGGTAATATAATTTAATTTAATTAATAACTGTTAGACCAAGAGGCGTGGATTTTTAAAGGACTTTTTTCATAAGAACTATTAGAGCAAGAGGCGTGGATTTTTAAAGGACTATTTTCCCAAGGACTATTAGACCAAGAGGAATGGATTTTTAAAAGACTATTTTCATAAAAACTATTAGACTAAGAGGAGTGGATTTTTAAAGGACTATTTTCATAAAAACTATTAGACCAAGAGGCGTGGATTTTAAAAGGACTATTTTCATAAAAACTATTAGACCAAGAGGCGTGGATTTTTAAAGGACTATTTTCATAAAAACTATTAGACCAATAGGCGTGGATTTTTAAAATACTATTTTCATAAAAACTATTAGACCAAGAGGCGTGGATTTTTAAAGGACTATTTTCATAAGAACTATTAGACCAAGAGGCGTCGATTTTTATATGACTATTTTCATAAAAACTATTAGGCCATGAAGCGGGGATTTTTAAAGGACTATTTTCATAAAAACTATTAGACCAAGAGGCGTGGATTTTTAAAGGACTATTTTCATAAAAACTATTAGACCAAGAGGCGAGGATTTGTAAAGGACTATTTTCATAAAAACTATTAGACCAAGAGGCGTGGATTTTTAAAGGACTATTTTCATAAAAACTATTAGACCAAGAGGCGTGGATTTTTAAAAGACTATATTCATAAAAAACTATTAGACCAAGTGGCGTGGATTTTCGAAACATATTTTACCAAGGACTATCAGACCAAAAGGCGTGGATTTTTAAAACATATTTTCCCAAGGACTATCAGACCAAATGGCGTGGATTTTTAAAACATATTTTCCCAAGGACTATCAGACCA